GGGGGGGGGGGGGAGTCTATGCTCCTCCCCCGGCCTGAGATGTGGCTGCAGCAAGGGGAAGCAACCCTGCCTGAGTTAAAGTGGTGTACATGCTCATGAACTGTGCAAGGGTCTCCTGGAGAGCTGGAGTAGTAGTAGCAGTAGGCGTATCAGGCGCCTAGGCTCCGGCTGGAGCTGCTGGTGGCTCCTTTGTAGTAGCTCGCATAGGTGCTCTGGCTGCACCACGTGTGCGTCCTCGGCCTCTTCCCCGGCCCCGACCTTTAACGGCTCTAGCAGGGGGCGCGAGTGCTTGGTCATCTTCGGTAGCTCGTGTCCTCGCCATCTGTGAGAGAATAGAAGACAGAGGTTTAGAATTTTGATATCAAAAATCTCGACGACAAGGAAATCAAATGAAGTGGAATTTTTCCTAATAGTTACATAGCCCCTCGAAGATAAGTACAGACGTCTCCGTACCGATCCGCGAGACTCTAATAAATCGGCTTGTGATTCGTTACTCCTATGAACCTAGAGCTCTGATACCAACTTGTCACGACCCAAGTTCTCCCTCCATGAACTGTCGTGATGGCACCTAGTCTCTACGACTAGGTAAGCCTAACACTTAGCGAAAAAAAGAATAAAAATGTACGAAACTAGCAAATTACGAGTAATATAATAAAGAAGGTTATAATGCCGCTCGGCGTATACAATAACACTCTCTCAAACTAGACAAAAACACTCCCAAAACCCGGAATCTCATGAATCACAAACTGAAGAAAATTACATAAGGATTCTAACTCCAGAAATCTAATAACAAAGGAAAATACAGGGAAAAGTCTATAACAGTAGGAAGAGTAGAAAGGGACTTCTAGGTCTGCGGACGCGGCATATATACCTCGAAGTCTCTGAAATCGCCTCGCCTCACTGATAGTACGACTGAGCAGAGGAACCTGGATCTGCACACGAAAAACATGGGCAGGAAAGGGCATGAGTACACCACAGCGGTACCCAGTAAGTGCCAAGCCTAACCTCGGTCGGGTAGTGACGAGGAAAGTCAAGGCCCTACTGGTTATATAAATATATAATAAGGTAAAACAATATAGAATGTGGAAGTATAATTAAAGATGCTAAAAGTCAAATAAAGATGAAATCTCAAGAAGGAATAACTCAGTAAGCAGTGATAACAACAGGGGGATCTCCCAGGATAACGTCTCATAGTCCCAAACATAAATGTGCAGAGGATCTCCCGGGATGTCGTCCCGTAGTCCAAAAGTAAATAGCCAGTACAGGGAAATCTTCGGGGATACCGTCCCGTAGTCCCAAATATAAAGGTATAGGGGGGATCTCCTGGAATACCTATCCGTAGTCCCAAAGTGAACAAGCAAGGGGGATCTCCCGAGATACCTTCCCGTAGTCCCAAAGTAAACACACAACAGTCTCAAGAAGAAATCTACCGTTCTATTCAATAAAAATAGGAATTTCTACTCTAAACATGCTACACAGAATCCAAGTAAGCAGTTAAAGCAGATAAGGCAGTTAAGTCACATAATCATGCTTTCCTAAGCTAAACAGGGAACTTCAAGTACAAATATTGCTCAATTAAAAGAAAACACAGATATTTACTTAATGAAAATGGGGGTTTTCAACAATTAGCACGTGTATGCACTCGTCACCTCACGTATACGACATTCATATAACAACAGTACCAAAATCCTAAGGGGAGTTCCCCCACACAAGGTTAGGCAAGCCACTTACCTCGAACAAAGCTCAATCAATCTGAAATAACGCTCTTGCCACGAGTATCCAACTCCGAGTGGCCCAAATCTATCCAAATCAATTTCATAATGTAAATATAACTACAAACAACAAGTTTAGCTAAAGGAATAGAATATAAGGCAAGAAAATAGAAAAACGCCCAAAAATCCTCCCAGGGCCCACGCCTCGAAATCGGGTAAAAATTACAGATTATGAGCATCCATTCACTCACGAGTCAAACCATACCAAAATCAACCAAATCTGCTACCAAAATCTCGATCAAAATCCCAAAATTCGGCCTAAGAACTTTTCTCAATTTTTCATCAAAAAGGAGTTAGGAATCATTACCCACTGATTTTCTCTTCAAAATCCTCACAAAATCGCCTTACCCCGAGCTCAAAATCGAATTTGATGTTATGAGATTCAAACCCTCGAAATTTCATATTTCTGCCCAGCGATTTCCGCTTTTGCGGTCATGGGGCCGCATCTGCGGTCCCGCACCTGTGGGAAAAGCATCGCAGGTGCGAAATCCACTTATCCGGGCTGGGACCGCATCTGCGGTCGCTGGGCCGCATTTGCGGTCCCGCATCTGCGGTTTCCCAGCCGTATCTGCGGTCCCTAGAGCACAAGGCCAAACTCGCTTCTGCAATTACCAAGCCGCTTTTGCGGTGCCGCACCTGCGGTCCCACATACGCAGGTGCGGTTATAGCAGGTTCAACAATAACAGCAAATGCCTAAGTCCAAATCAACTCTCGTTAAGCATACAAAACTCATCAGAGGCCCCCGGGACCTCAACCAAACATGCCAACCAATCCTAAAACATCATACGAACTTAGTCCAACCCTCAAATCACATCAAACAACCCTAAAACCACGAATCACCCTCCAATCCAAGCCTAATGAACTTGAAATTGCAAGAATCCTACAACCGATACCGAGACCAACCAAACCATGTCCGATTGACTCCAAATTTTGCACACAAGTCACATTCAACACTACAGAACTATTCCAACTTTTGGAATCGGATTCCAACCACGATATCAAAATTTCACTATCGATCCGGAAACTTTAAAAATTCAACTTTCGGCATTTCAATCCTAAATAAGCTACGGACCTCCAAAACACAATCCGAACACGCCCCTAAGCCCGAAATCACCCAACGGAGCTAACGGAATCGACGAAATTCAATTCCGAGGCCGTCTTTGCACTGTTTCGACATGGTCCAAATTCTAAAACTTAAGCTCTCATTTAGGGACTAAGTGTCCCAAAACACTCCGAAACTCAAAACGAATCTTCCTGGCAAATCACAATAGTAGAAATAAACACAGGGAAAGCAGTTAATAGGGGATCGGGGCGTTAATTCTCAAAACGACCAGCCCGGTCGTTACAAACAATCTTCAAAAATTTTCGAAATCGGGGCACGTGGGCCTGGGGGTGAATTTTAGGAATCTTCCAATTTGGGTTGGGTAATTACTCTAATAGTTAAATCATGAACTTCTGAACATGTATTGATTAATTTATATAACATTTGAATAGTTTCGAGTCATTTGGCGCCGAGGTGAGGATTTAAAGAATATTTGTGGATCGGAAGTGAACTTGAGAACGAGGTAAGTCTCTTGCCTAACCTTGTTAGAGGGAACACATCCCCTTAGGTGTGTTTTGTTGTAAATTACTTGTGTGGGGAGATACGTATGCACTAGGTGATGAGAGTACGTGCGTAGCTATATTCCATGTGATGTCCGGGTAGTCTTAGGCATAAATCATGCTTTGTTGACATGGTTATTTGATTATGCATATTAATTGTCTTGAATAGAGTTGAGATTGAGGATTTTAAGCTTTATAGTTTCCAGTTTAGACTTCTTATTTTTGGAAACAATTGAAGAATTTTATAATAACTTTGAGAAATCTATATTCGCTCGCGTTGCAAGCATTTCCGCTAGTGAGGTAAATTCCACTACTCTCATGGGAGCGGGCCGTTCGCCTCGGCATGTTAATAGATTCATCTATGGTTCGTGCAGTTTGACGCTCGGCAGTGCACACAGTATAGGTATATGTAATTTTGATCGAGCCGTACGACCTCGACATAACTCATGCGTAAAAATACTTGGAGCCCAATTATACTTGATATCGTTCTATTGGCTTGAGAGGTTAAATGGTTAGATGATGGAAATGGATTTGGGATTTACTATCAGTGAAAGAATTATTTATTTATTGCTTGTTATTGAGTTTTTATTATCACTTATATAGCCCATGCTTATTTAGAATTTCGGTATTTTATTATTAGCCAATAGTAAGTGTCAAAGTCGACCCCTCGTCACTACTTCTTCGAGGTTAGACTAGATACTTACTGGGTACATGTTGTTTATGTACTCACGCTACACTTCTGCACTAACCGTACAGGATCTGAGGCAGGTGCATCTGGCTATCATCCCGGCGCGTACTCTTGATACTCCGAGACTTTGCGATGAGCTGCCTTTCGAGCCCGTTCTGCAGCACCCGACGTCTTTCTCTTGCATTTACTTTCTGTCTATTTTATTTCAGACAGTAGTGTAGTATATTTTTTGTATATTCTACTAGTAGCTCATATACTTGTGACATCGGGTCTTGAAAATTATGCTAGTAGGCACTTGATGATTTTTTATTATTTACTTCACCTAATTTGCTTTCAAAGTTGTTTATTTCTCATTTTATTAAATTTTTCACTTCTTATTTATTCAATTATTAAAAATCAACTATTTCTAAAAAAATTAAAAAAAAAGAAAAGAAACAATCACATGGTTAGTTCACTGTTGGCTTGCCTAGCGGTAATGTTGGGCGCCATCACGGCCTAGTGGAGAAATTGGGTCGTGACATATTCAAATATAAGTATTAATTTAAGGAAAAGAAAAAATTAATACTAATGTATATAAAAAATCTTTTTGGCTTTCAAATTAACAATCACAGAAGAAAGCTTGAAAGAAACTGTGACTACACATGTTCTATGTGTAATAGACTGACTAGTTTAAGACCTTATCAGTCATTTGGTCCTGGTTTAAATATAAACCAAAAGTTACCCGAGCCAACATTCGAATTGAATCATTAAATGGTTAACCAACCAGTTACTTAGGCATACCGATCACCATGGAGTTACTCCTATGTAGGTGACTCTGTTTTTGTAGGGGCCTTCATGAGATGCTCTGGTTGTATAGTAACTTGGATATTGACCAGATTAATTGGTTAAGCAATTAATTGTCAAACCTCTGTTGGACTTATAAGGCTCCATTGCTTCAGCCTCAATGGCTATGGGTATGTCACTATAGTTTTGAGTTTAGCGTAGCCATCTCGTCTTATTACCTGTGGAATTCATCAGTCTATCAAAGTGACCAATGAATGTTGCTCAAAATATCCTCCAAAGTACAATTTTAGTGTTTGACCATTTACCTTAAACTTGTCACCTCCATTGTTCTGTTGGATTTCAATTGCTCCATATGGAGTAACGTCTGTTACATTGTAAGGATATGTCCACCTTGATTTTAATTTTCCAGGGAATAGCATGAGTCGACTACTGTAAAGAAGCACTTGATCTCCAATTTTAAAACTTTTTTGTCGGATCAAATTGTCATGCCATTTTTTTTGTTTTTTCTTTAAACAATTTTGCATTTTCATAGGCTTCCAACTCATTAACCTGAAAAAATCTATTTTTACCAGCAGAGGCTAATTCAAAGTTTAATGCTTTTAGTGCCCAAAAACCTTTGTGTTCTAATTCAACTAGCAAATGCAAGCTTTCCCAAAATCTGTATGGGGATGTTCCAAGTGGCGTTTTGAACGCCGTTCGGTACGCCCATAATGCATCATCTAATTTTAAAGCCCAGTCTTTTTTTGAGATTCCAACCATTTTTTCAAGAATTCTTTTTAACTCACGGTTGGAACTGTAACTTGCCCTTGAGTTTGAGCATGATATGGTGTTCCTGTTTTATGAGTCACACCATATTTTGTCAGTAAAGCAGAAAATTGTCTATTCATAAAATGAGTCTCTTGGTCATTAATGATGACTCGTGGTGTGCCAAATCCGATAACAATAATTTTTTTTGAAAAAATTGCACACAGTTCGAGCATCATTTTTTCTTGTGGGATGACTTCAACCCATCTTGACACAAAATCCACAGCCACAAGGATATATTTAAAAGAATGAGAAGAAGAAAAAGGACCCATGAAATCTATTCCCCAAAAATCAAATATTTCACATAGCTGTATTGATTGCAATGGAATCCCATCTCTCTTAGTGATGTTACCTGTTCTCTGACACCTGTCACATTGTGCAACATATGCTCGGGCATCTTTAAAGCTTCCAAAACTTTAAAGGTTGTTCGATTTGCTGCATAATGACCTCCAATTACTCCATCATGACAGTGATATTGTCACGACCAAAAAACCCAACCCGTCGTGATGGCGCCTATTATGGTACTAGGCAAGCCGTATTTATGAAAAATTCTAAAACTTTTGACAAAAAATGGGTTTAAAGCAGTTTAAATAACAATTTTCTCATAAGCAGAATAGAAAGATCCAAAACTACAACGTGGAATAACAACTCCCAAATCAGGGTGTCACAGGGTACATGAGCATCTAGTGTCACAAGTCAAGAATACACTGTCTTAGATAGTCCAAAAATCAAATACAATATAAGGAAGGATAGGGAGGAAGAAACAAGGACTGCGAACGCCGACAACTACCTTGAAATCTCCCAGAAGGTCAATTGTACGAAGCAATCAACACCCACCGTGTCCGGAAACACCTGGATTTGCACACAAAGTGCAGGGTGTAGCGTGAGTACAACCAACTCAGTAAGTAACAATAATAAGAGCTTAACATAGTGATGAGCTACATAGTTATAGTCAAAGTTTTAGTAGTCTCAACAAAGGAAATTAGGCATGCTTCCAAGTCCGATAATTTAAATCAAATCACTTTATACACGTAAAGTTTAGGTAAAAACCAGATGAAAAATCTTTCAGAAAATTTCAAGCAGTGATATATGGAAGCTAAGTGCAACAACAATGAAATCAAATGCAGCCTCTCAGAGCAATAGTCACTCAGTCCTCCCATTCGCTCTAACCTAACCATCACTCATTCCTCACAGTCACTCATTCCTCTCAGTTGCTTGGTGCTCGCACTCAGTAGGTACCTACACTCACTGGGGGTGTGTACAGACTCCAGAGGGGCTCCTTCAACCCAAGCACTATATCAAGCCAATCATGGCATAAAATCAATGAAACATATTGCGGCGTGCAACCCGATCCCATAAATATCCTCACAATCAGGCCCTCAACCTCACTCAATATAACCATCAATCTCTCCAGTCTCTCGGGCTCTTAGAAATCATGAAAATCAGCCCAAACAGAAATAATATTATGTATCAACAAGGAATAATAGAGGCTGAGATATGATATGCAAATAAAAACTAAGACTGAGTACAAATAGCAATTAACAGGTAGTTCAACATGTAGCATGGCCTTTGTGGGTCCCAACGGCACTAGCACATAGCCTAAACATGATTTCTAACATGATTTGCAGTCAAATTTCTATAACACATGGAAAGCATATAGCTGGCAACAAGTTATTTAACTTCACAGTTTCATGGAATGGACCAAGTCCCAATTCCTACGGTGCACGCCCACACGCCCGTCACCTAGCATGTGCATGATGTTTGGTGATAAATGATGAAAAGTGCATATTTTTTAGTATATTTGCTTATTAATTTTTCTGTGTGTTGCGGAAGATTACATGATTTTCGAAGTGAAATATACTCATTATGTGTTTCTTATGTGTAGGAACGAGTTTGGATGCTAAATGATCAAAAGATGACAATTCGACACAAAAAGAAGAAATTAAATGAGTGGGAGCTCGTCTATTCTCGTGCGTGGCACGAAGTCGGACGTGAAAAAGGAGAAAAGTTAAGGCACAAAACAGCGAAGCGAAGCAAAGGCACAGAGCGCTTCGCGAAATGGAAGAATCTCAAAAGCTGGATCCGCGTCAAAGTCCGCGTCTAGACGCGAAGGCAGACGTGGATTCCAGCTCTCCCATCCGAAGTTGGATTGAAGAATTCCGCCCCTCATCAACCCTAGGTCTTATAAATACATCCTAAAACACCACTTTGAGGGAGGGGACACACTTTTGACATAATTTAGAACTAAGGAGGCAGAGGAGGAATTTTTGACCAAGGAAGAGCACAGAGCCGCCGTGGAGGCCGGGTTTCATCTTTTCTTCCACCAACTTAGTCTTTTTATGTTTCTTTGTATGATTTGTTGTTTTGCTACCATGTCTATGTGGAGTTAAACTTCACGTTCTAGGGTTGTGGTTCTTTCATGACTATTGTTATTCGGATATTGATTTTGATTTCTTAGTTTATCATATTGGTTTATTTATTCAATCCTGCACTTAATTATTTGATTGCTTGATCACCAATTGAATACTATATACGAATCTAGAGTTGAACTCGAAAGTGGAAATTCTAGATTGCATATAGGATTGAGTAGAGTAAGTTCTTGAACCTGGGCCTCGGGGAACGGATTCGCAATTAGGATAGACATATACCTAATTGCCTTGCTTGGTTGAAATACAGAAATTATAAATGCGTTCTTGTTGATTCTAACTCCATAGACATATAGGCGTTAGGTTAGCTTGAATAGGCGAGTAAGAACTCGACAGATTCTTATGAGCAATATTAACCCTGTCAACCAATAAAACGAATAAATTAATTAGTCAATTCAATTGAAGAATACAATAGGATTGTTAGATAGCCCATAACCCTAGATCGTTTTCATTATATTGATATCATAAAAATATGCTCTTTCTCTGTCCAAAGTTCATTATTTGTTTTTATTTATTTTAATTAGTTTAGAATCAAATACTTCTAGGTTTAATTCTTGTATAGATAATTAGGATAGTCTAATTTAGTTAATAGTTGATCATAAGTCCTCGTGGGTTCGACATCCGACTTTTAGTCACTTTATTACTTGACGACCGCGTATACTTGCGTGTGCGTTTGGCCGCAACAAGTTTTTGGCGCTGTTGCCGGAGAGTTAGAAATTAACTATTCTACTAGATTAGATTTAAATTTTATCCTTATTTGTATATACTTTTATTTTTATAAATATTTGATATTTTTCTCTTAGTGTATTTCTAGTTCTCTCAACATGACATCTGGGGATGAAATATTTGGAGGTAAGGCTATTGATGAAGACTCTTGGGTGACAAAAGACTTTTATGGCTCGTATTTTTGGTCTTGTCATGGCCTGACTTCTTGGAGGTCTGAATTTGAATATGGGAGTAAGGGTTGGTATTGGGAAGAATATTCTCGATTAGGCGAATATGCGAAACGACGTTGTCTTCTAACAACGTTGGTGAATGATTGGTCTAAGGAGAGAGATGAACTTGCACATAAAATTGATAATTTTGGCTTGGCTGTGCATAACTTAGATGCAGATTTGAGCACAAAGGTTGATGCGTATAACGCCCAACAATTTAATAGTGAGTTGTGTGAAGCTGAAAAAATCTTTTAGACCAAATTGAGGAGCTAAAACGAGAATACCAATCACTAGACCATATTTTTCTTGAGGATGCCAATATTGAGAAGAGTGCTCTAGAGTCATGTGAGGGAGTAAATAACATTACTTTGGGAGACT